CCAGCCGATCAAAGGCGTTAAAACACTCGCTGATCTTTTAACCCATCGGTCAGCCAATTTACACTACGATTTGACTGGCGAGCGAGCTCCGCTGGGTAACTTGGTAATTTTGGCCGATCAAAACGGCGACTGGCAAGAGGTGCCGGTTTGACATTTGGCAGAGTGACCAACCGTTCCAACTTTAGCGGCTCAGATTGTTCAAAACATTCAGGCCGGTTTAGCGCTCGTTTTTGTCTTATTTTTGACAGCGGCAATCTTTACCACCGTGGGCGTAGCTGTTCATAGTAAGCGAACTACTAAGCAGGTGAGTCATGGCTAAAACCATTTCCGCTCACTTTAGTCTAGCGCGCGTAGTCGCTTCCCTAGGTCGGATTGGCAAAGCTTTGATGTTTCCGATCGCGGTTCTACCGATCGCGGCGCTGTTTTTACGTATCGGTGCCCAGGTGCCCCAGGACACGCCTTTTAGCGCTTTTGTGCACCAAGTGATTTTTGGCGCTGGCAACATTGTTTTTGCTAATTTACCGATCATTTTTGCGGTTGGAGTGGGTTTTGGCTTGACCAAAGATAACCGCGGCGAAGCGGCTCTGAGCGCTTTTCTAGGCATGGCCCTTCTAGCGGTTTTAATGCGAAGCGATGGGGTTGATTTGCCTGACAAAATTTACGGCTCAATTAACTTTTCCTTAGCTGCGGGCGCCGATCCTTCGACGAGCGGGTTCCACCGGATTTTTGGTTCCAAATACGATGCAATCTTAGCCGAAAACGTTCTCAACGGAATCGTCGCCGGTGGTTTAGTCGCTTGGCTTTACAACCGTTTTAACGGCGCCGTTTTACCAAAGGTGCTGGGGTTTTTCTCAGGGCGCCGCTTAATACCGGTCTTGTCGATTTTGAGCGTTTTAATTTTGGGCGTCGCTTACGCGGTGATTTATCCTTGGATAGGTTACTTGATTTACCGGTTTTCTCTGTTTCTTTCTAGTGCCACTGGACAGCGTTACACCAACGCGGGTATCATGGGGATTTACGTTTTGATCAACCGTTTACTAATTCCCTTCGGACTCCACCACATTCCAAACACCATGTTTTGGTTCCAACTCGGCGAACACACCGATCAATTTGGTAATCTAGTTCAGGGCGACATTAACATTTTTATTTCTGGAGTGGCCGCGGGCAATACCGCCGGAACATTTCAGTCCGGGTTTTTCCCAATGATGATGTTTGGACTGCCGGCCTTAGTGTTGGCGATCCATCGTAAAGCGCAAGATCGCGTCCAAAAACAACAAGTGCTGGCTATGCTAGGCGGAGCGGCTTTTGTTTCAATGCTGACTGGCATCACCGAGCCGATCGAATTTGCCTTTTTGTTTGCGGCGACACCTCTATTTGTTGCCCACGCTGTGATGGGTGGTCTTTTCGCCTTTATCACCGGACTTTTCGGGATTCAGTTAGGGTTTGGTTTTAGCGCCGGATTAATTGACTACCTGCTATCAATTCCCAAGTCAATCGAAATTATCAACGCCAACTTGAGCGGTCTAAGCGCAGTGTTAGCTAACCCAGGTTGAATTTTTGTGATCGGCTTAGCGTGCGCATTGTTTTACTACTTTGGAAGCTCGTGGGCGATCGGACAGTTCAATTTTGCTACTCCGGGACGAGCAAGTAATTTAATCTTGGTCAGTCAGGAGACTGAGCCGGCGCCAAGTCCAAGCGTTGAAACGATCAGAGCGCGTACCGCGGCCATCGTCGCCGCGCTGGGCGGATACGAAAACATCACTAATTTCCAAAACTGCGCCACTCGTTTACGCTACGACGTTAAAAGCGCGGACAAAGTTGACCAGGATAAGTTGACTCAGCTCGGCATTCTCGGCGTTATGAAAGTCAGTCCCACCCACGTTCAACTGGTCGTCGGTCCCCAGGTTGAGTCGCTCAACGACGAAATTATCCGCTTTAAAGACGCTGACTTAAGCCAGTCTTAAATTTGGATCATGTGCCGGTTTTTGTTAAAATTTTCTCAGCATATTTAAGCAACTTAACACTTAGGATCACGTTATTTGTCTACGTTAGGATTGTCAGTAACTGAGCTTAAACAGCGAACGCATTCGAGACAAATCGTCCCTCGGGAGTTAAGTTATCTTTGTATGCTTTTTTAAACTAATAAGGAGAAATATGTCACGTTACACTGGTCCAGTTTTTCGCAAGTCGCGCCGCTACAAATTTTCCACTTTGGAAACTGGCAAAGAATTTGCCAAGGGTAAGCAGCGCGAATACGCGCCCGGTCAGCACGGCCAATCCCGTAAAAAGATGTCTGATTACGGACTCCACCTTTACGAAAAACAAAAGTTAAAATATCTTTACGGAATTAACGAGCGTCAGTTTCGCAACACCTTTAAAAAAGTTTCCAAAGGTAAGGGAATCACTGGCACTAACTTTTTAATTGCGCTTGAGTCAAGGTTAGATAACCTTGTTTACCGGTTGGGATTTGCCCGCACCCGCCGACAAGCTCGTCAGTTAGTTAATCACAACCACTTTTTGGTTGACGGTCAAAAAGCCAACATACCGTCCATGATGATTAAGGTTGGTCAAAGCATCGAAGTTAAACCAACTAGTCAAAAAGTGGCCATCATTGAGGAAGCAATCGAAGCACGTCAACCGGCTAGTTGACTTAGCCGCAAAAAACTGGTTGGCAAGTACGATCGCTGGCCCGAACGCTCGGAAATGAACCGCGACATCAACGAGAGTTTAGTCGTTGAATACTACNTGTCCAAATTTACCGGTCATTCTCGCCGAAATTGAAAAAATCGAGCGCAGTTTTTCTCAGAAAAAAGTCGATTTCAGCGATTTAAATTTTTCACTCGGACGTCTAACCGATTTAATCAATGACTTACGCAGCGGAAAAAACAAGCAAAAGTTTACCCAGCAATTTTCTAACCAGGCCGACGTAACTTCTTCCCAAAGTTTTACCGCTCCAACTGCCCGCCCTAGTTTTAGCGTCGCAATTGATGGACCAAGCGGAGCTGGCAAGTCATCAGTCGCTCACCGCCTGAGTCAAATTTGGGGGCTTTTTTACTTAAACACCGGACTGCTTTACCGGGCCGTGGCTCTTAAAATCCAAAATTCCCAAACGCCGCTTGACGACCACGAGCGCATCCGCGGACTGCTTGATCCGCAAATGTTTGAACTTCGTCGCCACGAAAAAGTTTGGATGGAAGGCAAAGACGTGAGCCACCAACTACGTTCAGACGCAATTTCCCAACTCGCTTCGCAACTTTCAACGCTTGATTTCGTGCGCGATTACGTTAACGCGGTGCTCAAGAAGTACACTTCGCAAAAAGGTCTGATAGCCGAAGGTCGCGACACCACTTTTCGCGTTTTACCCCAGGCCGAGATTAAAGTTTACCTTGACACCAAACCCGAAATTCGTGCTCAGCGGCGGGTTAACCAAAACAAAACGCTCGGTTACGAAACAAATTACCAACAAATTTTGGCTGAGATCCAAGCCCGAGACCACCGCGATCAAAACCGTCAGCTGGATCCGCTCCAGAAAGTGCCCGGCGTACAAGTGTTAGATGCTTCTCACTTAAGCGTGGAACAAACTGTCGAAAAGATCAACCAAATCATTAAAACCAAGTTAGGACTCAATCCGCCTAATGGCTAACTTAATCGCGATTGTGGGCCGTCCTAACGTCGGTAAATCAACGCTTTTTAACCGCCTTAGTAAAACGCGTCAAGCAATCACAAGTTCTAGGCCGGGCACGACTCGGGACCGCAATTTTGCCCAGGTAGTTCACGAGGGAACGACTTTAACTTTGGTTGACACCGGGGGTTTAGAAGTTAAACCTGACAGCAATCAAATTAGCCAGCAAACCGAGTTTGCCATTGCTAAGGCAGATGTAATTCTTTTCGTGGTTGACGGACGCGTTAGTTTGGTTGAAGATGACTTGCGAGTGGCGAAAATGCTGCGGCAAACTAGTCGACCAGTTTTGGTGTTGGCCAATAAAATGGAGCAGAGCACCCCGCTTGATCAGTCACTATGATCGCTTGGTTATCCGATCGTAGAAATCGCCGCTTTGCACGGAATAGGCACATCTGATGTATGGGATTGACTGCGGCCACACCTTAAAAAAGGATTGACTGCGGCGGACGACCTCTGCCCTAAGTTAGTCATCCTAGGTCAAACTAACGTTGGTAAATCATCGCTTCTCAACGTTTTAAGCGGTCAGCATCGCTCAATCGTTTCGAGTCAAAAACACACCACTCGCGACGCCGTGAACGAAAAAATAAAGTTGGCCGGCCGGGACGTAGAAATTATTGATACGGCTGGCTTAAGACGTAAGTCACGTTTAGAAGAAGACGTAGCCTACTTTGCTTACCTGCGGACTCAGCAAGCCCTAGAAAGCGCCACGGTTGTGATGTTAGTTTTGGATGCCAGTCAGCGCCTAGCCCACTTTGATGCTCGCATCATTGGTTACGTTGAGGAAGAAAAAAAACCGTTTTTAATCGTGGTCAACAAGTGGGATTTGGTTAGTTCTCAAACTAGTTGCGCTAAATTTCAAAGCAATTTAGTGGCTAAATGACCCTTTTTAAAGTGGGTCCCAGTCGTTTGCGTTTCGGCGTTGCGGAAAGAAAAAATTCACCAAATCGGTCAAACTTTCGGCAAAATTCTAAGCGGTTTAAAAACAAAGATCCCCACCCGTCATCTCAACGATTTAATCAATGACGTTCAAACAATTAAACCAGCGCCTAGTTACCGGGGAAAGAGACTGGAAATATTTTTTGGTCAGCAAGTCCAAGCCAGAACCCCGACTTTCAAACTTTTTGTTAACGACAAAAAATTGGCCCACTTTTCTTACTTACGTTTCATTGAAAACCAAATACGTGAAATTTATCCTTTGTGAGGCGTGCCGATTCGTTTTTTATTAGAAAATAAACGCCAATCAAAGGCATAATAAAAAGTATGGCTGGTCAAAAAATTTTGGTGGTCGGAACCGGAGCAATGGGTTGCGCGATTGCCCAAGCCGTGGTTGATAAAAACGGTGGGCCAGTTTGGATTTACGGAGTTGATCAGCAGGAATTAACCGATTTGAAAAGCGGGTTCAACCGGCGGTATTTTCAAAATCACCGGTTTAGCAATTTAGTAGTCACGGACAACCTTTCAGAAGCTGTCCAAGACGCGCGGCACATTTTCTTAGCCGTTCCCTCCAAGGTGTTGGGGGAAGTCTACCAAAAAATCAGCGACCTCATCGGAGTCAAAAAAACCGCCATTCTCGTTAACTTAGCCAAGGGTTTTTACCCGGGCAGTTCACAGACTGCCCACGCTTTTCTAACTCAGAAAATTAGGCAAGATCGGGTTTTCCGCGGACTTGTTTCGCTTTATGGACCCTCGTTTGCGAGCGAAATCGTTGAGCGTAAACTGACCTTTTTAGCGGCCGTTTCCTCCGATCAAAAACTCAGTCGCGAAATTCAAGCCTTGCTTTCTAACGACTACCTTAAAATTTTTCTAGAAAAAGACGCGCTTGGAGCCCAAGTCGGTGCTATTTACAAAAACGTGGTTGCCATCGCGAGCGGTTTGTTAGCGGGTCTTGGCTACGGACTCAACGCCCAGGCGGTAGTTTTGACGCAGGGATTCTGAGAATTAAGCGTTTTAGTCAAGGCTCTGGGCGGTAAGCAAAAAACCGCTAACGGAGTGAGCGGTCTTGGCGATTTAATTTTGACCGCCAGTTCTAGTCAGTCGCGCAACTACACTTTTGGTTTAAAACTGGCCCACAACCGCCGCGATTCGAGTCAAACCGTGGAAGGACTATTAGCGCTTAAGGCGGTCGAAAAAATTTCTCGCCAGCGGAAACTGAAGTTGCCAATTTGTAAGGCTCTATACGGAATAGTTTACCGCCAGCGCAATCCGCAGACAATTTTAGATTGTTTAGAATCGGGCGCGGCGATTTCCCAATCAAGCCGTAAAGACTTATAATTTAAAGGGTGTTTTTCACTTTGGAAAGGGCATGATGAATAAAACAGAGTTAATTGAAAAAATCTCTGAACAACTAGATTTTTACAAATCAGATGTTGAGCAAGTAGTAAACAAATTGGTCGAAGTTATCGTCGGTAATGTCAAAAAAGGTCGTAAGGTCCACGTGAGCGGTTTAGGTTCGTTTGAAAAAATTAGACGTTCAGCTCGCACTGGGATTAACCCAGCCACCGGTAAAAAAATGCAGATACCCGCTAAAAATGCTCCTAAGTTTAAAAGCGCTAAAAATTTCAAAAATTTAGTGGCTTAATTTTGGCCAACCTGTTAAGGCATGGGCGCTAACCGTCCCAGACGAGCGATTTTAGTCCATCTATTAAGTCTAGGTAACCCGGGTAGCGGAGTCTAATTTCGTAAGCCGTTTTTTCCATCTGAGTTAAATCTCAATGGGAGGTTTGGTTTGTGCTCAAGCAAACACTCGGCAACATAAAAAATCGGTTCTCGGTCAAAAAAGCAACTAGGCAGAAACTAATTCCCCCGAGCTTTTTAACTTCCAGCAAATAATTCAGTTGGTGGTTTTTAATTGCCGAGAGTGCCACCTGGTTAAAACGGTGCTTTTGGCTTCAAAAGCGATGAATTTTCCCCGCCACAAACCGTAGTAATCGACCCGGGATTTTGCGGTTATGACCGCGTCTGTGACTCTTTTGTTGACAAGCGCCCGGTCGGTTTGGAAAATTTTTGTTTCAAGCGGAAGTTTATGGATCAAAGCAATTTTTTGCTCGTGGTAAAAAAGCGCCGTTTGGTTGATAATTAACTCCCACCAAAACCCCGAATTAGCGCGCTTTTTCCAAGTTTTCACACCCTACTTTGGAACATTTCGTCAATTGACCCATTTTTAGCGACTATGCTATACTTTTTTAAACTAATAGTCAACAGATAAAAGCATTTACGATGCTCGCTCGGTCGTGCCCAGTTGAAAGCTAGGTTCCGGGTTTGGAGTCGTAAAGAAGACAAAACGAGGAATCAAATGCACCAAGACCATTCAGACATCAACACCGCTGCCGAAAACAGCCCCCAAACTCACGAAAATCAAACTGGCCCCGAGTCAGAAATTATTTCCCACAACAAACTGCTTGAAGCGGGAACTTATTTCGGTCACAAAAAGGACAAGTGAAACCCGAAAATGAAGCCTTACATTTCGGCTACCAAAAAGGGTATGCACATCATTGACACCAAGAAAACTAAGAAAGCGCTTGAATTTGCTTACACCTTAATTGAAAGATTAACTAGCAAAGGAGCGAGTTTTATTTTCGTCGGAACGCGCAAACAAGCTCGCGAAACGATCCGCAATAACGCTCTCCGAACCAATTCGCACTACGTAGCTGACCGCTGGTTAGGCGGAACGCTGACTAACGCTAAGACAATTTTTTCGCGCGTTAAACACATGGAAGATTTGGAGCAAAAAGCGAGCAACGACTACGCGGGTTACACCAAAAAGGAGGGGCTTAAGTACGCTAAGGAGTTAGAAAAACTGAGACGTAACTTGGTCGGAATTAGACGGATGAAAAGCAGCCCTAACATTATGATTGTAGCCGACCCGATCCACGATAAAATTGCCGTTCGCGAGGCTCGTAAATTGGGGGTGAAAGTGATCGGAATCGTTGACACTAACGCCGACCCGACGTTCGTGGATGTGGCCATTCCAGCTAACGATGATTCGATCAAATCCGTCACATTGATCATCACAATTTTGGCCGACGCGATCGCTAAAGCTAAGGGCGGTCAACAGCTTTACGCCTACCAGGGCGACGACGCGGTATCTTTACCCGAAGACCGGCGTGAACGTCTGGAAGAGCGCCAAGGTAGAGGACGCTTTGGTCAACAAAGACGCCGTAGTTCTAACTTAAGAAATAATCCTCGGCCTGGTTATTCAAAACCGAAGGAAAAAACGGCCGCTACACCGAGCGAGACTACCGGTCAAACTGCCGAGCCGAAAACCGAGAAAGAGAGTGATCAAGATGGAACAAATCGAGAAAATTAAACGACTCAGAGAAATGACTCACGCCGGGTTTTTAGATTGTAAAAAAGCGCTTGAATCAACTAAGTGAGACCTTGACAAAGCGGTTGAGTTTCTCAGAAAAGCCGGCATCAGCAAGGCGGCCAAAAAAGAATCGGCGATCGCGGCTGAAGGAGTGATTGCGATTATTTCCGATGAGAACAAAATTGTCATGTTTGAAGTCAATAGTCAAACCGATTTTGTTGCCCAAAACCCAGAATTTTTAGCCGTCGTTGACCAGATCGGCATCACGCTCATTAAGGACGCCCATCCGAGCGTAGAAACCGCGCTGAAAATCAAAAACTCGGACGGTCAGAGCATTGAGGAAATGATCACCAGTCTCAGAGCAACTTTAGGCGAAAAAATTGCTCTGCGTCGTCTAGTTGAGATTCAGAAGGAAAGCGGTCAAAGTTACGGAGTCTACTTGCACACCAACCGGAAAATCGGGGCGGTCGTGGTGACTAAGGGTGGCAATGACCAAGTGGCCCGCAACGTTTCCATGCACGTGGCGTCGATGAACCCAGCTTATCTAGACGTTAACAGCGTGCCGAGCGGCGACCTTGAGCAACTCCGCCAAGAAATTAAAGATTCGCCGGTCTTAAAAAGTAAACCCGATCAGATCAAAGACCAAATTGCTCAAGGCATGCTGAGTAAAAAGTTGGCTGAGCTTACCTTAGTGGACCAGGAATTTGTGATGGAAAAAATGCCCGTTAAAACTTACTTAAAAAACCACAACGCTGAAGCTAAAGCGATGTACAGGATGGAAGTTGGTCAAGGCATGATTCACAAATCTTGCGACTTTGTTTCCGAAGTTCAGCAGCAAATGAAGGGCCACGAAAAAACCGACGGTTCTAGTAAACGTTAAAAGCTTGTCGCTATGAACGCAGTTGACTTAATCGAAAAAAAACGGACTGGCCAAAAACTGACCAGTTCTGAAATTGGGCATTTAGTTAAAGGTTATGTAGACGGCGATCTGCCCGATTACCAAATGGCCGCCTTTTTAATGGCGGTCATGTTCCAAGGTCTAGACGTCTTGGAAACAAGCGCCTTGACCATGGCGATGGCACGCTCGGGCGATGTACTGGACTTGTCTTCGGTCAGTGGTCCGGTCGTTGACAAACATTCGACCGGCGGAGTGGGCGACAAAGTTAGTTTAATCATCGGACCCGTCATGGCCAGCCTCGGAGTTAGTTTTGCTAAGATGTCAGGTCGCGGTCTTGGCTACACCGGCGGTACGGCTGACAAACTGATGTCAATTCCGGGTTACAAAATCAATTTGTCCAACTCCGAATTTATTCGGCAAGTTAAGGAGATCAAAATTGCTCTAATTGGCCCCAGCGACAATATCGTGCCGGCCGACAAGAAAATTTACGCACTCCGCGATGTGACCGCTACGGTCGAATCGATTGCGCTCATGACTGCTTCGGTGATGTCCAAGAAAATTGCCACTGGTGCCGACGCCATTTTGCTGGACGTTAAGTGCGGCGATGGCAGTTTTATGAAAGACGTACCGGCGGCTAAAAAGTTAGCCGAACTAATGATCAAGATTGGTCAGGAGCTCGGTAAAAACGTGCGAGCTGAAATTTCTAACATGAGCAAACCGCTTGGAAAAGCGATCGGAAATCGGATCGAAGTTTTAGAGGCGATCCAATATTTAAGCGGTCAAGCGATCCCAGATTTAGACGAATTAATTCGCTCATCAAGTCAGACGCTTTTACGCCAAGCACGTCCCTCACTCAGCGCCGAACAAGCTCGTCAGCAAGTTGACCAGGTGATTACAAGCGGACGGGCGCTCAACAAGTTCAAAGAGTGAATGGCGCGTCAAGGCGCGGATCTTGAGCTACTTAACTCGGACAACTTTTGACGACCTAAGTACAGTCAGCCGGTTTTAGCGACGAGCGCGGGCGTGCTCAACATTGTTAGTGCCGTTAAGTTCGGCACCGCGGCCATGAAATTAGGAGCCGGCCGGGAAACCAAGGACCAAGCAATCGATTATGACGCTGGCATTTATTTGCACCGCAAGTCGGGTGACCGAGTTAAAAAAGGCGACTTGCTTTTTACGCTTTATTCATCAAAACCGATCCATGGTTGACAAGTTGATCTTCTAACTGACGCTTACCGAGTCGGGAAAGGTTACCAGTCTGAGCCGATGGTTTTGGTCAAAATTTAGTTAACTTTTGGTCGGCACTTACAATTGTTGGGACTGAGAAAAAGTAATTTGTTAAGATTAGTTCAGAATTAGCCGTGGTAAAAGTACTCAATCATCCTCTGATTAAAATCAAACTGACTAAAATGCGCGATGTTAACACTTCGCACCTACCTTTTCGCAAAAATTTGAGCCAACTCGCATCGTTAATGGTTTACGAAGTTTTGCGAAAATACCGCGGTAAAACAAAGTGGGTTAACACGCCGACTGGCACCCGAGCCAAAGGTTTAGACTTTGACAAAGAAATTGTGATCGTGCCAATTTTGCGGGCTGGACTGGGGATGGTTAGCGCCATCGAACACCTAATTCCCCAGGCCCGTATCGGGCACATCGGAATTTACCGCGACAGCCAAACTTTTCAAGCGGTGGAATATTTTTACAAGATGCCCAAAGTAGATCTAGATGCGCAAGTTATTATCGTCGATCCGATGCTTGCCACGGGCAACTCAGCCGTTGATGCGATCGCGAGCATCCGTAAAAATGGTTTCCACAAAATCTCTCTGCTTTCAATCGTTGGTTCGCAAGAGGGAATCGATAACGTCTTAAAGCACCACCCTCAAGTTGACATTTTTTTAGCGGCCAAAGACTCTCACTTAGACGAGCACAAATACATCATTCCTGGGCTGGGTGATGCGGGCGACCGACTTTTTGGCACAAAATAAAAATTAAGTTTTCCCTCGGTTTGACCAATCTTCTATGGGGAAACAAAATGGAAATATACCGGATTGGTAAAGTTGTCTCGGTCGGCAGTTTACACATCGTTTTAGAATCGCGCTACAGCGGAGAAATAATTTACGTAGCTGACGGGAGTAAATTCACGCGCCACAAAATCCAGAAAGTTTACATTTACCGTTGTCGTAACGACTACCAGGACACACTCTACGGTTTTAGCGAGTTTCGCGAGCGCAGTTTGTTCNCCACCCCACGGCGGAATTGCGCTGGGGATTGACCGGTTGGCGATGATTTTAACTAACAGCCAGTCGATTAGAGATGTGATCGCCTTCCCGAAAAACGCCACTGGCCACGCCGTGATGGAAGATGCGCCGAGCGAAATTGCCGATCAGCAACTTGACGAATACCACCTCAATCTCAAACCAGCCCTCAAGAAAAGGAGTTAACGCGATGAAACAGAAAGTGATTCAGGCGCTAGAGACCGCCGCCCAGCAGTTAGGCTACTCGGAAAGTGTTGAACTAACTCCTAGTCGCGGTCGAAGCGATTTTGCCACCAACTTGGCCATGAAATTAGCCAAGAAAATTAACGCCAATCCGCTCGATGTTGCCCAGCAAATAATTGCCAATTTGAGCGCGAGTTTTATCGCTCGTGCCGAAGTAGCTAAGCCGGGTTTTATTAATCTTTACCTTAACCCCAACTCTTTAGCCTTGCAAATCCAGCAAGTTTTAGACGAGGGGCCAAACTACGGTCGCGGTCAGCAGTCTAAGTACGTGAACGTTGAATACGTTTCGGTCAACCCGACTGGTTATCTTCACGTCGGCCACGCCCGTAACGCTGCTCTGGGCGCGACGCTCAGCAGTGTCTTAAAGTTTGCTGGCAACCGCGTTGATCAGGAGTACTACGTCAATAATGTCGGCGTTCAAATGAAAGTCTTAGCCGAGTCGCTCTACGTGCGCTATTTGCAAGCTTTGTCTAAGTCGGCCGAGCTGCCCGAAGAGGCATACCGAGGTCCAGAAATTATTCACTTAGCCGAGCAAATAGTCCAAAGTTCGGGCGAGAAGTATCTTAAATTGCCGGCCAATCAAGTCAAAGAGGAATTCGCGAAAATCGCTGAAAATTTCATGATTGAAAAAATCAAGCAACACTTGGAACTGATCGGAGTCAAGATGGATCGCTACTACTATGAGCAAGATCTTTACGATCAGAAGTTAGTCATTCCGGCCTTAGAAAGTATGCCCGATACTTACCGCCAAGGCGGCGCTTTGTGGCTTAGAACGACTAAGTTTGGCGACGATAAAGACCGGGTGCTAATTAAAAGCGACGGCAGTTTTACTTACTTTGCCTCGGACATCGCTTACCACAGCGTTAAACTAAAACGAGGTTATGACGAACTGATCGATGTTTGGGGCGGAGACCACATCGGCTACGTTAAGCGGGTTAAGATTAGTCTTAACCAGCTCGGCTTAGCGTCGGATAAACTGGACATCATCATTATCCAAATGGTGCGTTTGATCCAGGGCGGCCAGGAACTTAAAATGTCCAAACGCAAAGGAGTGGCTTTTACGCTGGAAGAGCTAGTCAAGACAATTGGTCGGGATGCAGCCCGGTTTTACTTGATTAGCCGAGCTAACACGACCCAAGTTGACATTAACTTGGATTTGGTAACTAGCGCTAATTCGGATAACTTAGTTTACATGGTTCAGTACAGTCACGCCCGGGCGCGCCAACTGCTAGTTAAAGGTAACTGTCCACCCCAAGTCGGCGCTTACCTGGAGGGCAAGGAAAATCAACTGATTAACTTAATCAGCGAGTTTCCCGAACTAATCGTGACGATCGCTGACAACCACAAAGTTCACCTTTTGCCGCAGTACTTAGTCGCTCTGGCGCGACTGTTTAACCAGTTTTACAGCGAAACCCGGATCATTAACTCCGAACGTGAAAGCGAACTGCTGGCGCTGGTCAAAGCTGTTAAACAAGTTTTAGCGACTGGATTAGCGCTGATTGGCGTTAACGCTCCGGACCAAATGTAAACTTTGGTAGAATTGAATGAGCATGAACAAAGTCGTGATTGAAGTTCAAAACATCACTAAAATTTACAAACAAAAGATCGCCAACGACAACATTTCGTTTGTGGTTCACCAGGGCGAAAGAGTCGGCGTGATTGGTCAAAACGGCGCTGGGAAAACCACTCTGGTTGAACAAATCGTCGGGATTACTAAACCGACCAAAGGCAAAATTATCTACCACTTTCCCTACAAACGAACTCCGCAGGAAAAAATGGGCATCCAGTTCCAAGACTCTTCTTATCCCGAAGGTCTGACGGTTAAAGACGTGATTAATTTCCAACTTGATATTTACGGTTCGACTATCTCACGCCGAGAGCTACTTAACATGCTCCACATTTTCCAAGTCGATGAGTTTTACCACAAAAAAGCGAAGGGACTTTCAGGCGGTCAACTGCAAAAAATCAACGTTTTACTAGCGGTCATCCACAACCCCGAAGTAGTCGTTTTGGACGAAATATCAACCGGTCTTGACATCTCGGCCCGGGAAGAAATTCTCAACTACGTGGAAAAATACCTGATTGAAAAGAAGATGACCACGTTTTTAATTTCACACAACATGTCCGAAATTGAACGACTGTGTAAGCGGGTGATTTTGCTTGATGACGGTAAAATCCATTATGATGGATCTTTGTCGGAGATTGTTCAAGAACATGGTTCGCTGAGAGCTTACGTGGTTAAGTTTTTAGAAGCTAGAAAAAAAGCTCGGGAGCGTTTGCTTAAGAAAAAGCTCGCTTCGCCAAGCGACCCCCTCAAGAAAGGTGCTTAACTGTGAAACAAGGCCCGATAGTTTTGGACGAGAAATCTACTAAAGTTCCCCACCCCAAGTTCCACTTTCTCAAACACGATCGAAAAGGTGGAAAAATCGCGATTTTTCGTCTCCTTTTTAAGTACTACTACAAGTCTTTTTACGGACCGTTTTTAAACTTTATTTTTCCGATTTTGCTCTACACAATTTTGTCCTCATTCATGGAGCCGCGCCTTGTTTTGCCCGGCATGTTGTCGATGACAACCATGTCAATGGGAATCACGGGACTCCCACACTCAATTTTAGAGTTGAAAACTTCGGTGATTTTAAAGAGAATCGGCGCCGCGCCGGTTAAAAAAGGCGATTTTACCGTTGCCACGATTTTGTTTTTCCTCTGTCAGCTAATTATTTCGATGTTTGTGCTGATGGTTTTTGCTTACCTAAGACACCTAGATTGGGATTTATTTAACGGTCTAACCGATCCTTACTCGGCGCTTGGTTTTATCTACGGCAATTTGCTCAACATCTTTCTCTCAATTGTGCTTGGTTTTCTAATTGCCTCGTTTTCACGCACCACTAACCAAGCTAACGCAATCGGAATGCTAATCTACTTTCCGGCCGCTTTTTTGTCAGGTCAGTTTATCGCCATGAACGTGCTTATTACCAAGCCGATCATGAACTACATCTCGTACCTTTTTCCGTTTCGCTACACCACGATGCTAATTTCGGTAACTTTCAGCGGTCCGGAAATATTTACCGGCAATCCCTTTGTTTACGAAGAAATTAAAATGGAGAAAATCGGTTCCATTTTAAACATCATTCAGTGACTTTTAGACAATAATGAAATCACTAATTCCCAATTGCCAGGATTAACTTTTGGCCGCTTGGTTGAACTCGCTCTTAAAAACGATTTCCACCCCATTCCTAACGCCGACGGTCAGTACGACTTTCGAGTTTGAAACTTAGGCAAAGAGGTCATTTACCGCGCTTGGGAGCCGATCGTTGCTTACGTTTACATTTGACCTTTGATCATCGGTTCGCTCTACTTTTCAATCCGACGCTTCACTTGGAGTAACCGTGGTTAAGGGCGTTTGCACAAGAGGTTAATTTGTTTCACCACCAAAAAAAGATCAGTTTTTTTTCGGCCGTCATTTTAATTATCGCCACCACCATCGGAGCGGGCATTTTTTTTAAAAACAAAGAACTGAGCGCCATGGCCCACGGCAACTTAGTTTTGGTGCTCATCACTTGACTAGTCGCTGCGTTAGCGATTATCATGCTCGGCGGAGCGCTCTTAGAAGTGACAAGCGTTAAAAATGCGACTGGCATTCTCGGCTGAACGCGCGTTTTCACCCACCCGATTTTCCACAAAGCCGCCGTCAATTACAACAAGTATTTTTTTGTGCCGGTTTCAATTTTTGCCCTCGCCCTTTACGCGGCTTCAAGTCTTAACTTCATTGACACTCCGATCGTCAAAAACAGTTACTTTATTTGGGCGGTGGCTTTCGGGTTTTTTCTCTGATTTATGGGCGCCAACTTTTTTTCTTTGCGGCTGGGCGAATACATGCAGTGAATCACAACGGCCGTCCAAATGGTGCCCCTAGTTCTAATTCCCATTCTCGCTTTAACCCAAGTGGGTAACTTGGGTTCGGGATCAATTTTGGAGAAAGAAATTACCCGTCGGACTAAGCGGCACGAGCCGCTGAATCGTTTTAATCGCAGGTTTGCCGGCCATTTGCTTTGCTTACGACGGTTTTTACACGGTCGGGGCTCTCAAGCAAAACCTCAGAAACCCACGCAAAGTGGGTGGAGTTTTAGTGTGAGGTTTAGTGGCGATCACCGCCATCTACATGTTTTTATCGATCGCTTTTAACTTAGGTTCGCGCGACGGTACCCACCAGGGGATTGATATGCCGCTTTGGTTAAGACATTTTTTTGACATTTGCATCGGCGTGGGAATTTTGGGGATTGTCAACGGCTACGTCGTGGCTAGCCCCTACCAGTACCGTCAACTCAGTCAAGGTAGCGACGGCTGAGATATCGTTAAATTGGCCCGAGTGGTTTACGGTCGTAGTTACCAAAGCTTGTCGGCTCGTCAGCAGTTTCACGCGGCTTGGCTTTACCTTTTAATTACGACGAGCGTTTTTTTCGTGATTTTTGGCTTAGTCGGCATTTTAGGTTACCAAGACCAGAGTCATTGACCCGAGGCTACTTACGGAGCGAGCGGGAAACTTTTTCAATTTGCCGACGTTTTACTTAACTACTCATCGCTCATCACGTTCATCATTTTGGCGACGATCGTTTTGGGTTGTTTAATCAACCGCAAGACCCAGACAGTCGAAGTTGAAAGGCGGAAATTTTTCCCGCTTTACGCGCTTTTCAGTTTGCTAGTTTTTTACGGCGGAGGTCTTTACATCGTGATCGCAGCGGTAGTTGACATGACTGGTTTTAACCAAGCGAGCACGATTTCGGGCTTAATCCAGTTCCTAATTATCGTGGTGGTCTTGCTGATGAGCACGATCCCAGCCGTAGTCAGTTTTTACCGTCTCAAAACCCGGCCGGACGGGAGTTAAGTTAGCGCTTATTTTGCTAAACTTTATCTTATGGAACCTAAAATCATTTTTGTGGCCGGAGGTTCTGCGTCGGGAAAAACGACTCTTTCGCGACAAATCATCGACCACTTTAAAAACCGCGCTATTTTAGTAGCTCAAGACTCGTTTTACCGCGGTTCACGCCACAGCAATGTTAACTTTGATCTGCCTAGTTCGATGGACTTTAAACTGATGAAGAAAACTTTGCTGACCTTGAAAAAAGGCCAAAAAGTGCAAATTCCAATTTATGACTTTGTCGCTCACCAGGCGGTTGGCCAAACTTGGCTAGAACCCAAAGAAATCGTTATTTTTGAAGGTTTATTTACTTTTTACGATCCCGAGTTAACTAAGTTGGCTGATTTCAAGATTTTCGTTGATACGCCGGCTGACACGCGCTTGTGGCGCCGGATTATCCGCGACACTAAGGAAAGAGGCCGCAGTCTTGACAGCGTCGGAAAACGCTGGCTTGAGCACGTCCAGCCCTCGTACGAAAAATTTATATCACCGACTAAAAAAGACGCCGACGTGGTGATCCCTTGGGACAAAATTAAAGCCCGCTCAATCGAAGCCCTCTTAATTACTATCCACCACATCGGTGACGATTACACCAAACTATTAGCTGCCTAGGAGAAAAAATGCCAACCATTTACGAAGTCGTTAAAGAACTGTTGACCGAACATAAAACGCTCAGTTTCCAAGAAATTTGGGCGAGTTTAAAAAAGACCATGGCCGCCAAGTGGTCTAAAAATCCGACCGAATTAAAAAGCGATGAATTTGAAAAGAAAAAAATCGGCGAACTTTACTACATGCTGACGGTGGACGGTGATTTTGTCCGCCAAAACGAAAACCACTGGGGTTTGACAAAACGTTTAAGTTACGAGCAAATTAAGAAAACTCGCATCCGCGTTCCCGAAAATAACGAGTAACTACTCGTGCCAAGCGGTCTTCGCCAACTTAAGGGGGTTGCTATAATTAAGTAAACCGATCCGGTTGCAAAGGAATTTCATGCCCCTAGTCAACGCTAAACAAATTATTCAAAAAGCGGTCAAACGCCACTACGCGGTTCCGCACATCAACATCAATAACTTAGAGTGGACTAAAGCAATTTTAGAAACGGCCCAAGCGATGGATTCGCCGATCATTTTAGGCACTTCCGAGGGCGCGATTAACTACATGGGCGGCTACCAAACGGTTTTTAACTTGGTGAGCGGTTTGGTTGAAGATTTAGCAATTAAAGTGCCGGTGGTTTTGCACCTTGATCACGGTTCATACGAAGCCGCTAAACTGGCAATCAACATGGGCTGGACATCGGTTATGTTTGACGGATCCAACTTACCTTTTGAGGAAAACTTGCATCTATCCAAGGAAATCGTTAAGTTGGCTCAGCATCAAGACGTCTCGGTAGAAGTGGAAGTTGGTTCGATCGGCGGCGAAGAAGACGGAGTGATTGGCACGGGCGAACTAGCCGATCCCGACCAGGTCGCTCAGATGGCTCACATCGGCGCCGATATGATTGCGGCCGGGATTAACAACATTCACGGACGTTATCCCAGCGATTGAAAAGGCTTGGACTTTAAAACGTTGGAACTGCTCAAATCAAAAGCCGACGGCAAGGCGCTAGTTTTACACGGCGGGTCGGAGATTCCCAGCGACCAAATTAAAGCTGCGATCAAACTGGGCATTGCCAAAGTCAATGTCAACACCGAGCTCCAAATTGCGAACGCTCTGGCGATTGAACAGTTTGTTTTACAAGGTCAAGTTAAAGTGGGTCGCAACTACGACCCGCGCAAGTTGCTCAAACCAGGCTACGAAGCGATTAAAAAAGTTGTCCAGGATAAGATTACGCTCTTTGGCTCGCAACGCAAAGCTTAAGTTACGCATTTTGGCTTTAAGTGGACTCGGCTTGCTTTTAGTGGGTGGAAACCATTTTTTTAAAATCGGACGTTTTGAAAAAATGACGCTCATGGTTCAAGTCGCCCACGTTTGAGACGGAGACACTTTTATGGATGTGAATGGTCAAAACTACCGGATTCACGCCGTGAACACGCCCGAACTGAGCGCCAACAGCGCTCGTCTGCGCCAACTCGCGAACGCGGCCAAGGTTTACTTAAGCGCTTTAATCAGCGGGCAGACTTTGCGCTTTCAAATCGAAACTAGCGATCAATACCAGCGAGTCGTGGGACGCACATCGTACCGCGGCCACGATTTAGCCGCTTTGCTTCTCCAAGCGGGCTACGCCAAAGTGAGTTACGTCAGTCTTGATCCACACAGCCCCTTTTACAGCGCCGATTATCAGTACCTAGCTTGCCTTTTAGACTATCAGCACCAAGCGTTTTTAGCTCAAAAAGGTGTTTGAAAAAAACCGTAAAATGTTAGAATGAAAGAACTAAACTGAGGACGGTCACCGTGAAAAAAAACATCCACCCGACAAACTACCGCGCTGTCGCTTTCCGCGACACCGCTTCTGGGCACGTTTTCATCATCAAATCGACTGTTAACACCAGCGAAACGATCAACCACGAAGGCCAGGAGTACCCGCTTTTAACCGTCGACACATCGAGCCAATCGCACGCTTTTTACACCGGTAACCGTCAAAGCGCTCGTTCAACCGGACGGGTGGAACGTTTTAACCGCATGTTTCACAAGAAAAAGACTCCTTCTTAATTCCGAGTCGCTTGTAAATAATTTTTTGGCCGTAGAGAAAAATCGCGTTTCTTAATTCAGGGCCTTCCTTTAACTGGGTCGTTGCTAAGCGGATTGGCAAGTAAAGGTCTTTGCCACGGGCTTGGGTGATGGCGGCGGTTTTTTCAAGCGCCTGGCTAATTCCTTCGGGCGAAAAAGGTGCTCTGGCTAATTCCTTGGCAAAAACTTGGCTGACGCCGGTCAGTTTTTGCTTTTCAGCGCTCGGATTTTGGTACATCAAAAAGTAGTTTTTGAGCGCTAGGTAAGACGGGCAGTTTTGTTTGTAAGTTTCCACGAATAAATTTAACCACTCGTGATTAGGCGGGTTTTGTAAAGCAAGTTTTTTAATTAGTTGGGCGTTAGGAGTTCTTTTAACGTACTGCTTGGCAAACCAGTCTAGTTTTTGGGCGTCAAATTTACTCGGTGAACGGGAAAACCGGCCCGGATCAAAGTCTTTGATAAGTTCCTCGCGGGAAAGCAGTTCTTGCTTGTTGGGATGCGACCAACCAAGCAAGGCTAAAAAGTTAAAAATCGCGGCGGGAGGATAATTTTCGTGGCGGTAATCTTCAATGTATTGGTGAGTTGATAAGTCTCGTTTGGAGAGTTTTTTACCCTCTAAATTGGTGATGATGGTTAGGTGAGCAAACTCGGGCGGCGCTCAACCAAGTGCCTCGTAGAGCGCTAGTTGCTTAGGCGTGTTAGTGATGTGCTCTTCACCCCGCAAGACGTGGCTAATTTGCATGTCGTGGTCGTCGACTGTCACGGCTAAGTTGTAAGTTGGAAAGCGGTCTTCTTTCTGAATCACAAAGTCGCCGATCTCTTCGGCAGCGACTTGGATGGGCCCGCGGACTAAGTCCTTCCACCGGTAGATTTTGCCCGCTTGGAGCGCTAACCGAACTACGTAATGACCTGCGTCGTGACGCAGTTTTTGCTCGGCCTTGGTTAATTTAAGCCACTTTTTGTCGTACCGAAACGAGTAAAGGCCGCGCTCAATTTGCGCGGCGCGCTGCTTCTCAAGTTCTTCAATCGTGTCGTAAGCGTAGTAAGCGTGACCCTTTTGGATCAGAAGGTCAATAATTTGCTGGTAGCGAGTTAACTTCTCGCTTTGGCGGTAAGGGCCAAATTTAGCGTTTGGTTTTTGCGGTGATTCATCGGCGCTTATTCCGAGCCAAGCTAAGTTGTCTAACTGGGACTCCTCGGCTTTGGCAACGTTACGAAGTTGGTCGGTGTCTTCAATGCGAACAATAAAATCTCCGCCGTAATGCTTGGCGAAAAGGTAGCAAAAAAGGGCGGTTCGCGCCCCTCCGATGTGAAGGTTGCCAGTCGGTGAAGGCGCGTAGCGGGTGCGGACCTTTTTCATAGGTTTATTTTAGCACTTATTGGCGTTGCTTCTGGCTAGCCCAGTCGCGCTAATGGACTATAATATTTCTTACCCATGCTTGATAAAGTAGTTTACGATTCGCTAGTTAAAATTCGCCAGAATTATTTGCAATTAAACGAGCAGTTAAACGACCCAGCGGTGGTCAGCGACGTCAAAAAATACCGGCAAATAGCCCAAGAAATCGCCCAAATCAGCGAAGTTGTGCAAGTTTTTAACGACTACCTAGTTGTTTTTGAAAACTACCAGCAAGCTAAAGAACTGCTGGCCATATCCAAGGACGAGTCGATCGCGGCGCTTTCAAAGCAGGAAATGAGCGAAGCGCTCAAAAAACTGACCGATCTCTCCCAGCAGTTAAAAGTTTTGCTTCTGCCCAAGGACCAAGACGATGCGCGCAACGTGATCGTCGAAATTCGCGGCGCGGCCGGCGGACAAGAAGCCAACATTTTTGCCGGCGATTTGTTTGAAATTTACAAAAAGTGGGCCGCTTTGCACAGCCAAGTACTGAAACCGATCGCGGTCCAAAGATCAGATAGCGGCGGTTTTACTTTAGTTGTTTTTAGTGTCAAGGGCACCAACGTTTACGCCCAGCTCAAGTACGAAACGGGTGTCCACCGCGTTCAGCGCATTCCTTTAACCGAGACGCAGGGACGAGTCCACACTTCGACGGCGACGGTAACGGTCATGCCCGAAATTGACGACCTGATCGAAGTTAAGATTAACCCCCAAGATTTAAAAATTGACACTTACCGCGCTTCGGGCGCCGGCGGTCAGCACGTCAATAAAACCGATTCCGCGGTCCGGATCACCCATTTGCCGACTAACATCGTCGTTCAGTCCCAAGACGGTCGCTCCCAAATCGCCAACCGTGATTTAGCGCTCAGCATTTTAAAAGCTAAACTTTACCAACTTGAAATCAGCAAAAAAGAAGAGCAGGAGGGCGCCTACCGTAAATTGGCCGGCACCGGCGCACGTTCGGAAAAAATTCGTACTTACAACTATCCGCAAGACCGGGTGACTGACCACCGGATCAACTTTTCCACTTCTTTAAAAGGTGTTTTAAGCGGCAAAATTGACCCGATCGTGGAAGCTTTAATCGCCGCTGACCAGTCGGAGAAAATGCGCGAGGCGGGACTTTAATGAACCAAAGTATTGGGACGGATTTTTTGGATTACAAACGCAGTTATGGTTTGCCTGAGCAAATAAGCGAGCGCGAAAGAAAACTGCTCGCGCAGGGAGTGCCGTTTCAAAAAATTTTGGGTTACGTTGACTTTTCCAATTTACGTCTTGAAATTAACGAACGGGTTTTTATTCCCCGCTATGAAACGTTGGAATTGATTGATTTAGTCTCTCGTTTAGCTGGTCCTGGCCAATCGGTTTGCGATTTGGGCGCCGGCAGCGGGTTAATCGGCCTGACCCTAAAAAAGAATCGACCTGACCTCGAAGTTACTCTAGTTGAAAACGATCCGGCCGCGCTTCGGCAAACGCGCCTTAACGCGCTCAAAAACAACTTAGCGGTTGAGGTGATCGACTCGGATTGACTAACCAATTTAAAACCCGCCCATCAGTTTGATTTGATCGTTTCCAATCCGCCCTACATTAAAGACTCAACCTTTCTAGAGCCGAGCGTGGTTGAGCACGAACCGCGCGCTGCTTTATTGGCCGGTCCAGACGGCAATAACGCTTACCGAGCGATTTTGAGTAGTTTCAAAAACTATTTAAAACCGGGCGGTTACTTAGTCTTTGAAATTGGCGCCGACAACGTTAGTTTTTTGCGAGCCCAAAACTTTACTTTAAGACGCGATATTAATCGCAAGTGGCGGATTGCTTTCCGACGTTTTTAACGCTGGCAATTGGGGCAGTAGTAAGTGCCGCGTTGGCCAACTTTGGTTTTGGCGATTTTGGTTTGACAGCGCGGACAAGGTAAGTTAACTTTGCCGTGGACTTTCAAAAAATTTTGAAACTGCCCGGCCTGATCGTTAAAAGCTAAAAAGGTTTTAATCGAACTGCCACCGAACTCAATCGCTTTTTTTAAGATTTGGCGGGCGCTAGTTAGAATTTGAGTAGTTTCGGCTAAGTCAAGTTTTTTGCTTGGCAAAGAGGGGTTAACTTTTTGGTCCCACAAAACTTCGTTGACGTAAATGTTGCCCAGCCCGACCATCACGCTCTGGTCAAGCAAAACCGTTTTAAGCGCCACCGAAGTTTTTTGGAGTTTTTGGTAAAGTTCCCGCGGCGTAATTTGAAACGGATCGGGACCTAGTTTACTAATCGGCGGCACTTTCTGCCAGTCGTCTGACTTGCGGAGTTGAAAAGTGCCGAACTGGCGCGAGTCGTTGTAAATTAGGTGGCGGTTTTGGTCAAGGTGAAAAACTAGGTGGTCTTGCGGTCCGAGCACGAGCTGGCCTTGGGCGAGGCGGTAGCGACCTTCTAAGCGAAGGTGCGAAAGCATGACCGTCTGCTGACTGAGGTGAAAAACGATGAATTTACCGCGGTTAGTAATTTGGTTAATTTGCTGCCCGATCAGCCTAGTTTGGAAGACACCGGCGGTGATTTCTTTGACGAACTTATCTTTCCCGACGCTGACATCTTCAATCCTAGCCCCGGTCAAATGTTTGGCTAGGTAATTGACGACCGTGGTCACTTCGGGAAGTTCTGGCATACTTAGCATTTTAAACCAACCAACCAAAACGCGGAATAAGCCGGTTTATAATGACTTTGCTATGCCAAATAATGCGCCACTTTTTTTAACTTCAACCGACACCGTGGTTGGTCTTGGCGCGCCGCTGGACGAAACTAACCGTCAACTAATCGCTCAGCTCAAAAAACGTTCGCCTAGTAAACCGCTCGCGGTGCTAATTAGCTCTTACCAGCAAGCCCGCCAATTCACTGCTTGGAGCGCTGAGGCCGAAAAGTNGGGGATTTTTCTCCATTGAATCAAGCATTTGAGTAGCTACTACCACCGGTTTGCCAGCTTCGCGGCACTTACGAATCATCATCTTCTGGACGACGGGAACTTCAAAGTAAGGTATTTCTAGTCCAAGATCACCGCGGGCGACCATGATTCCGTCCGCCGCTGCGAGAATTTTGTCAAAATTATTGATCGCGTACTGCGACTCAATTTTGGCGATGATCTTGATTTGACTCGCTTGCTGTTCCTTTAAAATACTGCGGATTTGCTGCACGTCATCGGGCGAGTTGACAAAGGAAGCGGCGATAAAATCAACTTTGTGGGTGCAACCAAATTTAATGTCTTCAATGTCTTTGTCGGTCAAAAAAGGCATTAGAAAAGGTTTGCCGGGCAAATTAATCCGCTTGTTAGGTTTCAGGCGGTGATGGTTAACCGCGCGGGTTTTGATCAGTTTGGGTTTAACGCTGGTGACTTTCAGCTGAAGTTTACCGTCGTCAACCAAAATCGTGTCGCCTGGTTCTAAGTTTTGGCTAATGTCGCACGAGACGGTGATTTGACCAATTTTAGCCTTGACTTTTTGGTAAGAGGCTGGGTCAGTCAAAATAGTTACTTCTTGGTTAGCGATAATTTTTTGAACGCTGTGGACGAATTTACCGACTCTGACCTCGGGACCTTTGGTGTCAAGCATAATTGAAATTGGCAGACCTTTTTCACGCATGACCAACCGGGTGTTATTGATTCTTTCCAGTTGTTCCTGGTAAGTGCCGTGGGAAAAGTTGAGCCGGACGGTGGTCATGCCCGCGTCAAAAAGCTGGCTAATGACTTCCTTTTTGTGGGACGAGGGTCCGATAGTAGTGATAATTTTGGTTCGTTTGGTAATTTGCACTTTTTACTCCATTTAGGCTTGGTTGAGGCGGTTGTACTTTTGCGCTTTGCCCGCGCGATCTTGACGGGGTCGGCTCAGCGCTTCCATAATCGGCATCGCAGTGGTGCGGCTGTTGACGATTCCGACCGCTAGTCCAGATTGGTTTTGACTAAGCAATTCGATCGCTTTCAGACCCATCCTTGAGGCGTTAATTCTTTCGATTGCGCCGGGGATGCCCCCGCGTTGGATGTGGGAAAAGGACATCGCTCGCGTGGCGCGTCCGCTGATTTTTTCGACTACGCTTTCAAGGTGCTTGAGATTTTCAAAGATCATTTCACTGACGACGATGATAACCGATTTTTTGCCTTTGGCAAACTGCTTTTTAGCGAGTTGACCAATTTCTTCGGCGCTGAGTAAGTTTTCGTTGGTGACGATAATCTCTGCGCCGGTGGCCAGACCCGAGTAAAGCGCTAAGTCTCCGCAACCGTGTCCCATCACTTCCACGATTGCCACCCGGCGGTGCGATTCCATCGTGTCGCGGACGCGATCAATGTTTTCAACGATTGTTTGGAGAGCCGTGGGGTAACCGATCGTGAAGTCAGAGGAGTTAATGTCGTTATCAATTGTGCCGGGCAAAGCGATTGTTTTGACGCCCATTTCGTGCAGCGCCTGGGCTCCGCGGTACGATCCGTCGCCACCGATCACTACTAAGGCCTCAATGCCGCGCTTGAGCAGTTCTTTGAGCGCCTTTTTGCGAACTTTAAGATTCGCAAACTCGGGGTAGCGCGCCGAACCGATCATAGTTCCGCCCCGGTTGATGTACATGTCAACGTCAAACCCCTTTGCCAAAGCAAACTTGCCTTGACAAAGTCCTCAGTAGCCTTCAAAAACTAGTCAAGCTTCAATTTCGTGCATTCGGCTCGCTCGAACCAAAGCTCGGATGGCGTTATTCATGCCCGGTGCATCGCCTCCCGAAGTTAAAATTGCAACTTTTTTGACCATTGATTTTCAGTTCTCTTCCGAGCAACCTTTACCTATAATAATTCTATATGAAAAAGTACGCCCGGGTTTTTATGATCGTGACCGATTCACTGGGGATCGGTGCCGACCGCCGTGCTCGCCAGTTTGGTGACCACGGCGCTAACACTTTCCAGTGCGCGGCCAACACCCAAAAATTAGTCTTACCCAACTGACTTAAGCTTGGTATTTGGCAGTTAGTCAAGTTTCCTAGGTTAGTTAAGCCCGAGCCGCCGCGGGCTTACGTGGCCAAGGTGCAGGAAATATCAAACGCTAAAGACACTTTGGCTGGCCACTGGGAGATGATGGGGATTGAAACTAAGGTGCCTTTTCCGGTTTTTACCACGACCGGTTTTCCACCCGAGTTAATCGCCGCTTTGGAAGCGGCCTGGGGGCGAGAAATTGTCGGCAACCGAGCCGCCTCGGGTACGAGCATCATCGACGAGTTAGCCGACCAAGAAATCAACCACGGCAAAGTGATTGTTTACACCTCGGCCGACTCGGTTTTACAAATTTGCGGTCATGAGGAAACGATGGGTCTTAAAAAGCTCTACCAGATGGCTGAGACAGCCCGCCAAATTTGCTCTTCGCGTCCCGAGTGAAACGTAGGGCGCATCATTGCCAGGCCTTACACTGGTCGCCCCGGTCAATACCTCCGGACCGCTAACCGCCACGACTACGCACTTAAGCCGCCTGGCCCCACTTTGCTGGACCGTCTTCAAAAAGCCGGCGTGAAAGTGATCGGCGTAGGTAAAATTAGCGATATTTTTGACGGAGAAGGTATTAGTCAGTCTTTCCGAACTAGTTCTGATGCCCACGGAATGGACACAACCATCGAGTTAGTTCAAAAAGCCCCTGCACGCAGTTTTGTTTTTGTCAACTTAGTTGATTTTGATTCTAAGTATGGTCACCGGCGTAACCCGCTTGGATACGCGGAGAATCTCAACCTTTTTGACCAAAAACTTGGCCAACTGATCGCTCAGCTCAGACAAGATGATTTGTTAATTATCACTTCTGACCACGGCACGGATCCGTGTTTCCCTGGCAGCGATCACACCAGCGAGTTTTTACCGCTGACAGTTTACGCCCACAACTTTGACCGCCAGCCCCAACTGTTAAAACCGCTGGTCAGTTTAGCTAGCGTTGGTAACTTAGTGGCCCGGAATTTCCAAGTTGAGTTAAGTGCGATTGGGGAAGACCGGGGCGACCAAATTATCTAGTTCTAAATTTTTGACCAACTGGCTTAGCCAAGCGCTAATTAGTTGTGGTTGGTCTTTAATCGGATTGTGGTAAGCCGCTGGCACCACGCTGACCGGGCGTTTAAGTTGCTCTTGGACATAACTGACAAAACAACTCGTCTCAATCACGTAGTCGTGCTGTCCGATTAGGAAAAAAGTTGGCTTAGCGAGCGATTGACGGTAGTCGCGGTCTAAATCGTGATTTAAGTAAGCGCGGTTAAGCAAGTTGTGTTTGATAATTTGCTGGTAGCGCTGGCGGTGAGCAAAGATTTCTTCCATCTCGGGGTGGCTAGCGAGGTAATTTTTGAGTTGACTTTGCCGCTCTTGCTCAGGCAGCTCGAAACTTTTGGCTAACTGATTAAAACTGGCTGAGTGAACAATGCCAGGGTGAACGCTGGCTAAATAAACGAGCGCCTCAACGGCCGGGTGCTCGGCTAGAGCGCTAATCGTGATACCCGCCAGCGAGTGGCCGAGCAAAATCACTTTTTCAAAGGGGCAAATGCGGTCCAAGAAAGTCGTTAGGTAAGTTTTGAATAACTCGCTCGTTAACGGTTCGTCTGGTTCTGGGAGATGGAGGCTACCGGGCAAGTTCAAACTGACTAAGTTGAAATTTTTGGTTAAGTTTTCAAGCGGCAGAGCGAGGTCGCTGGACGAATTGTAGCCGTGAACAAACAAAATCGTTTTAGGAGCTTTGTTATCAATCATCCAGTAAGCAAAATCAAAGCCACGAAAACGTTTGCGAATTAAATGGGTCAATTTTACCTCTTTAAAAAAATGGTGCCCATAACTAGACTCGAACTAGCACGGTGTTATCACCTGGGGATTTTAAGTCCCCTGCGTCTACCATTTCCGCCATATGGGCTTCCGAAAAAAGCCACTTAATTATAAACAGACTTACTTAGGAAGCGCTCAAATAAGTGGCCGCTTCTTTGGATCTTAATTTGGCCAAGACTTGGTCAGTCGCGGATCCAGCGCCTATCCCATTCGCCTAGACCTAAGTAGTCGAGCAGCTGATCCATGGCCTGGGGCATTACGACGCTCAGCATCAAACCGCTCGTGTAAATGCCGTGCAAAATTAGGCTGATGACTTGGTTAAAACGCTCGGTTTGGTCAATGTTTCACGGCGCAGCCTGGTCAATGTAAACGTTGAGTTTTTTGTTTAAAATGTGGACCTGCGCGAGCGCGCGACTGACGCGGTATTTTTGAAACTGCTGCTGGTATTCAGCGTAAGCGACTTGGATGGATTGGAGAAGCTTTTGCTCGGCGCCCTGCTTTGGCTGGCTAGTTTGCACGGGTTTAATTAGGCCAGCTGATTTTTTGATCGCTAAGGCCAAAGTGCGGCTGACCAAGTTGCCAAAAGCGTTGACGAGTTCGCTGTTATAAACTTCCACCAAGTGGGCCTGGTCAAAGACGTGGTCGTTTTCAACGTCAAACTTGCTGACTAAGTAGTACTTAATCACTTCGGGGTCAAATTTTGCTAGGAGCTGGTAGGGCGAAATGACGTTGCCCTTCGATTTGGACATTTTGCCATTTTTGGTTGTCATTCAGCCGTGGGCTAAAATTTGCGTCGGCAGCGGCAGACTCAGACATTTTAGTAAAATCGGTCAGTAAATGGCGTGAAAGCGGGCGATCTCTTTGCCGATGACGTGGATGATTTTGCCCTCTGGACGCCAAAATTTTTCAAAGTTAGCCGGGTTTTTGCCTAAGTAGCCAAGACTAGTTAAGTAACCTAAGAGGGCGTCGATTCAAACGTAAATCGTTTCGGAACTATTTTTGACAGCCGGCACGCCCCAAGCCAAATTTTGGCGGGTAATCGACAGATCCTGCAACCCCGGCTTCACGAAGTTGTTGGTTAGTTCGCGGTAAACTTTGGTCGGAAAAATTACCGCTTGGCTTTCCGGGAAAGTTTTTTCCCACCAGCTTTGGTAACGGCTAACTTTAAAAAAGTGACTTGCTTCCTCGAGTTCGACTAACTCGTGACCCGACTGGGGGTGGTAGTACTTGCCTGACTTAACTTCGGCTTGACTGGCTAACAAATATTCTTCGTCGGCGACTGAGTAAAGCCCTCGGTAAGTCGCAGCGTAAACGTCTTTTTGCTCAGTCAGCTGAGCAAAGACTTTTTGAATGATTGCCACGTGCGCTGGGTCGCTGGTGCGAGCAAAAAAGTCGTAATCGATCGCTAAATCTTGCCAAAGCTTTTTAAAATGCTGGCTCATTTTATCAACGTAAGTTTGGGGACTGACTTTGTTTTGGTGGGCGATCTGGGCGATTTTTTGGCCGTGTTCGTCGGCGCCGGTGACTAGGAAAGTTTCGTAGCCTTGGGCTCGAAAGTAGTTGCGAATTACCCAAGCTAAACTGGCGCTGTAAGCGTGACCGATGTGTAGTTCGCCCGAAGGGTAAAAAAGCGGGGTGCTGACGTAAAGGGTCGGTTTTTTAGCCATGGCCATCTTTCTGATTGACTTTGATCGGTCGGTAGAGCTTGACGACCTCGGGACGGTAAGAGCTTTTACCTAAGTCGTCGGGATGGAGATAAAGATTAGGTAAAAAGTGGGTTCCCCAACCCGCTTGGTAGCGACCTTCGACCAATACCAAGTTAGATTTTTGGAAAGTTCTCGGATGGACAAACTGAACCCTTTTAACTTCAAAGCCAGCTTGACGCATCAAGTGGCAAACGTCAACCAGCCGCTCGGTCGCGATCACAAGTGCCAAGTAAGCGTTTTTTTTGAGTAGATGAGCGGATCCGCCGATAATATCTTCCAAAGTGATGCTTACTTCGTGGGTCGCCATCAGTTTGCTGGGCGAAATTTTGCCTAAGTTGGTCGTACCAGGTTTATAGAAGGGCGGGTTGACCACGATTAAATCGTAAAGCGATGACTTGGGTTTAGCTGCATAAGTTTGCCAATAATCGTTAAAGTCACCCTCAATTAAAGTGATTTGTTGCTCTTTTTGGTTGAGAGTCACGTTTTGCCGCGCCACTTGGAGCGCTTCGGGTTGAATTTCTAAGGCATCAACGTGAATTTTAGTGCTGCGCGCGGCTAAAAAAAGCGCCAGCGCGGCGTTGTTAGTACCAATTTCCAAAACTTTCTGAGTGCTGGCGTTAAGGGTCGCAAAGTTGCCGAGCAAAATTGTGTCAACCGAGTAATTAAACATTTGTTTGTCTTGGTAAACAAAGAGAGAATTGTCGTAGCCGAGTGAGTTTTTCACGATCTTTTTCATGGGCAAACCAATCATAGACTAGATAGTTTCAATTTGGTACTTTTCGCGGATATGGCGCGCTTCGGTTGATATTACTCCGCCCTGAACTTCGGCAATGTGACCTTTACCGAGCAACGCCATTGCTAAGCGCGGTAAATTAAAACGAATTTCCAAAACTTTGTAACTTTGGCGGACAAGATTTTCGTAAAAGGGATTGGCTAGGAGTTGCTCTTGACGAGCCAAGGTTAGTTGGTCTTTGAGTTGCTGACCGTTACTAGTTAAAGCCACCGCCGCGACTCTGATCGTCAGAGCGTTGACCCGGTCGCGCATAATAATCTCGTAGTGGTTGCGCAAGTCGTATAAACTAGGCGGGACATTTTGGTGAATGTGGCCGGAAAACATCTTTAAGCCCGAGGCCTGTAAAATGTAGGCGTCGCTTTCAAGCACAAACTCAATTTCACGGTTATCAAAAGATTCGTTGGGAAGTTCATTTTCCATCATTTGACTAGTCACAAAATTAACCGTGGGCGGATAAATGTTCTTAATTTTTCAACGTTTTTGAACTTCCTTAGCTAACTCAAAGATGATTTGGTAGACTTGCTGGGCTTGGGCTTTTGCCAGTTTAACTTCGTCCTCGTCAGCGCTGACTTTGGTTTGAAAAATTAATTCGTGGCGGG